GAGAGAGGGACCATGCCTGTCAGCCCCTACAAGGCCCCTTGGAGCCAAGCAGTAGCATTCGGCTCTGGGCTGAACAAACTGGCCCCACACCCACCCAGTCTTATGTACTTCTCCTTCCTGCTTTGATTCTATGCCTAGAGAAGAATCCCGTCTCGTCCGACAGTCCATCTTCTGCCCATTTCTACTGTGCCCCAGCTCCTTGGAGCAGGGATAGAAGGTCCTGGAGGGCAGTAAGATCTGCCCTAGGAGTAACCTCCTTCCCGGCTGCTGTTCCTTCTCAGCATCCCTCTCTTGCTGCCCAGCTACATGGAGCTAATAAATCTGGGGACATGAGCTCCCCGTTGCAGGAGGCGAGGCTGGCTCATGGCACATGCCGTGTACAACCTCTGTCAGCAATCTCCCAAATGCCTACCATGGGCCACGAGGATGGAATAGGGAAGTGAATGGGGATGTCTGACACAGGATTTATTCGCTATCAGAACAGCAGCCCAATGGTTATATTTGAGGTGGGTGCCAATGCAGGAGGAAAAGAGAAAGCTGAGCCCTATTTACGTCATGGGAGTGGAACTCCACCTCCCTACAGAGCCTATCCCTCTCTCTATATTCTAGCCACAGGGCCTTTGCACATGCTATTCCCCCTCTTTGTCCAATGTGCTTCCCTCCTTTCACTTCCCTGTTAATGCCTACTCAATTGCCGATTCCTCAGGGAAGTCCTCTCTGACTCCCGTCAAAGTCCTGTTATAGGTTTTCATAGTTCCCTAATCTCTCCATCATAGCAAGTAATAATTAAAGATTCATGTCTTAGTATTCACATCAGGCTTTCCCAGGAGACTATCAACTTCATGAGGCCAAGACTCATATCACCACTGTCCTCAGGGCCATGTGCCTGGCACACACTAGGTATTCAAAAAAACATCTGTTGGAAGGACGAATGGCTGGACTGCTTTCTTACCGTTCAGGAAAGCCTGCTAGGCACCAGGTGCCAACTGGACAGGCTTCAGGGCTGCCCCAAGTAGGAAGAAGACACCCCATAGCCTTCCTACCTGACTCTTGTCAGGTCAGGAGGTAGGATGGGAAGGTGAGAATCAGAGCAGCCTGGGGATATGAAGATGGAACCAACCACACAACCTAGAGAATGGGGAGCAACCAACAGGCTATAGGAACCTTTATACGTGTTCATGAACACAGACGTGTGCATTATATACACTCGCCCCAGAGCGCAGGGAGCTGCACACATGTGCATGCAGATACAAGAGCATGCCTGTGTCGTTTATGCACACACACACCCACGAATGCACCTCATGCACCCCCCCAAATATATGTGGGTACCTGTCCCCTGCACATCCCTCCCCTGCATGGTCGCCCTTCAGAGCCGGCTCCCACTGGCACTGACATCTGCCCTGCACTCTCCCTCCTTCCAGCAAGCCTTTCCTAGTGAAGACAGTGCTGGGCTGCCTTGGGGGTTCCTGCTTCCTTGGGCGAAGTGCTCTGGTCTCCCGGACTTGGTCTGCTCCTCAGTGAAAGTAGCTCACCCAGCTCTGACCCTCGGGTGGCTTGGGGCCTACAGAACTGGAGATTCACCTGATGGTGCCAGAGGTTCTTGAGGGGCTCGTGTGTCACCCAGAGACACAAGAAGAACCCCGGGGCCTGTCCACCTGGGTCCTGCAGCGAGCACTCCCCAGCTCCTCTCTTTACCCTCAGCTCTGAGCGTGAAAGGACAGGCTCAGTGGGCCAACCCAGAGCCTTCTGGATGGGCTGCCCCAGTGGACAAGAGCCCATGGCTAGGGGTCAGGCAGTCCTATGAACTTCAGCTCAGTCGCTTGCCAGCCCTGGGACCCTGGGCAAGCTGTGCGGCATGTAAGCTAAGCTTCCATTTCCTCCCCTGTAAAATGAGAAGGATGGCATGTACAGGGTTAGAAACACCAAGTGTGAAGGGCCTGCTTCCCGCCAGGGCTCACCAGAGTCGGCGCGGAAAGGATTATTGCAGCAGCAGAGGCGGTTTATCAGTGGCAGCTGCCTTCGGAGGTCAGCTTGGCCACCCCCCCTCCTCGGGGCATCACCACCCCAGGCACTGGGTCTGGAAGGAACCATAGACGCATCTTAGTCCCTCGTGTTCATTTTACAGATAAGATGCACGGAGAGCAGCAGCTTCTGCCCTCAATACCACGGTTGGCCGGGGGCAGAGTTGGTGCTCAGGGTCAAGCCTCTGAACCCTGGTCCCCCATGTTTTCCCCTCTGCCAGTGGAAACTCCTCTTTTGCTGTAACTGGGGTCTGAAAGAGGCTCAAAGCCTGGGCTGGGGGAGGTCCAGGGGGTGGGGAGGTCCAAGGGTCCAGTGCTTCCACCTGCCGGGAGCCCAGGCTGGAGGTGACAGGGCCTCCTCTTCCAGCTTCCCCACCCCCACTGTCAAACTGCTTCCTCCCCCGGGGCTGGGTGATGAGCTCACAGAAGCCCCGCCAGTGCCAGGGTGGGGGCTGGGGAGGCCCCTCACGGCAGGTTCTGTGCCCCAGCCCTCGGTGCAAATTAAAACATTTTCCTTTTCTTCATCATTTTTTTTCTGACACAACTGCCCATGAAACATTTTAATAACATCTGAGAAAAGGTCACAGAGAAGGAATTTCACAGTCCCTGAGCAGGCAGCTATAACTTCAGCTCCTCCTGCAGCAAAGGAGGTGGAAAGATTAGGCCGACCTGGGAAACGGCAGGGTGGGGGAGGCCAGGTCAGGCCGGGCAGGGTGCTGGCGTGGCTTCGCAGCGTGCTCCCTGCTAGAGCTCTGCAAGCGCACCGGGGGAGGCTGGGAGACGATGGTGGGTAAGGAGGGTGGCCCAGGGGATGCTGTCACACCCCACATTCACACCTCTTGACAGCAGCCTTGGGAGGTCTCATGCCCATTTTGCAGATGAGGAAACAAAAGGCTTCCAGGGGTGATGTGGATAGACTAGCACACAGCAAAGGCAAGGAAAGCAGGGCTCACAGTTTCCCACAGGGGCCCGGGGCTCCTGTAGGCACACAGGCCTGGTACTAGAGCTTGTCACTGGGTGAAACAACCCCTTCATTTCTGCATAGCTCATAACCCTGGGGCTGGCGGCGAGCAGGGGTGGGGGCTGAGAAGGAGGTGGGCAAGGCTTAGACAGACTCAAGAACTGGAGGCTGACCGGATGGGCCAGCCCTAGGTAGACACACTCAGAGGAGGCTAAATGCATCTGTTAAACATGAGAAACTGAAGAAGGGGTCATGGGTGGCACGCAGGCCCAGGAACTGCTCTAAGTGCTTGAAAAAAGCCCAGTTTGAGGATCTACTCTCCAGTGGCAGCCCCAGAGGAGACTGGGCCTTATGCATAGTCCCTGGCACTGGCAACTGGCCACCAGCCCAGAGGGGTGCCTTCTGACCCTTCTGCTCCCTAGGTTCTGCAACCCCTCCAGAGCCATGGCAACTTGTGCCTGCAAAGTGAGACCTCCGTCCCCAGCAAGAATACCAGAGAGGCATCCCTGGACACTCACCAAGCCTGACACCTGAATTCTTTGCCATGTGGTCCCAGGCCCGCTGGGGCCCTGAAGCACAGGCTGCTTGGGTGTCCTGTACCCTGATATTTGAAGATGGTTGCGGGGGTGGGGGGAGGGGGTTACAGACTCTTTTTGGGTCCAGGAGGCCAAAGCCTCTGCAACTTGCTCTCTGGCTGGGCCCCTAGAGGCTGCAAGAGGATCCACAGGGCCTCAAGCACCAGGTGACTGATTGCAGGGAGCACCTTGGCAGAAGCCGGCGGGACGGAAACAGCCACAGCAGACTTAGTGTTTCTGTCTGATGGCCCGCCTAGCTAAACATCTGTTTGAAATATTAATAACTGTCAGATGGGAAGGGCCTGGGGGCTCAATACAGTTTCACACCATCTGTTGGTAGAGTAAACAGACTTCAGAGTAGGGGCCCTGGGATCAGCAGGCAATGGCTTGGCTTGGCTTAGCTTGGAGTAAGGATGGAGCAAGAACTGGAAGCGAGGACTCCAAGGCCCTCAGAATGGGCAGAGGGGGGCAGCAGTGGGCTCAACTGCATCACATTTATTGAGCACCTACTGCGGGTAAGAGCCGAGCTTCCATAGCACACATCTGCCGCTTTGATCTGCTCGGCAACTGATCCTCTTCTGCTTCGGTTGAAGCCCCTTTGGCATATCCCCTTTCCCATTTTCAGCCCATATAGTTTGGATGGAGCTGACCCAGTCCCGGTTCTACCTGGGAAGAGTGTGAGTCATCTCTGGTAGATCAGGATCATGATGATTGGTTCCAGGATGGCCCAGCAAGGAGAATCAGCTCTGGGACTTTTGCTGGAACTACTGAAAATATTGTTTTCCCACTAAGGCTGATAAATTGGGAAGAAGCAAGCCTAGGGGTGCTGGTGTTCCTCTCGGCCAATGTAATAAAGCAGAGGCTGGTGCCAAAGTCAGATTCCTGCTGAGTGCCTGGGTCTAGCCAGGCCTGAAGTCATTTTTACTTTGAATGACATGAGCTGATTCTTCTTGGCTTGAACCACTTAAGGGTTTGTGTCCCCTGCCATCGAGAGTACCGACCAATACAAACAGACAGACACTGCAGGGGGCCCCTCATAAGTCCCAGCAAAGGGCAGCTGGGGATGGTCAGGCACCCTCAAGGAGCCCATTCTTCCCTGGTGCTCAGAGGGAGGGTGGCCCTCCTCAGAGATGGCTGGCCCCTATCCCTATTAGAGGGCACTTCCAGGGCTCCTGGCCCACCTAGGTCCAGTCTCTCTCAGGAACAAGGCGTCCTTGGCCCATCCCATCTTCCCCCTGGTTGATCCTCTTTCCACATTGTTGCCCTGACCATGGACACCCCATCATAAAGAGTCCAGATGCTTCCATACACAAACACCACAGCTTCTGGGGGCTTGGGGCACCCCCCTTCCCTGACTGCCCACGTTTCTTGGGCAAATCCCTTTGGTAACCTCCCTGTGGTCTTCCCCAGAGCTCAACGGCCCTATAGAAAAGCAGGACTCACCAGCACTGTCAGCACAGAGGTCCCCACGGTGACGTTCTCATACAAGCTCACGTTGTACAGTGGCTGGCTGAAGATGGGCCGGTTGTCATTCTCGTTGATGAGGGTGATCTTCACCTTGGCATAGCCCACGTGGTCGGGCACACTCTCATTGGCAAAGAGCTGGGTGTGCAGAGCAGGGCCCCGGGTGAGCTCTCCCATGCTCCCGGAGCCTTGTCCCCGTAAGTCACCCCAGGATCTTTGCAGTCCTAACCCAGAGTTCCTATCTGAGTCACTGCCCATACCAGGTGGGTGTTGCCAGTGAGTCCCTCCATCAGTGCTCCTAAGCCAGGGTGCCACTGATTCTGCTGGGGGCTGGGCTGGCAGAGGCTGGGCTCCTATGGGCTTCGGCGGCTATGACCATGCCCAGTAAAATTCTGCTCAATTCCCAGACCTTCCTTGTCCTCCTTGAAAAGGGGAGGCTCAGCCTCTGCCATGGGCTCAATGGATTTCTTGGAGTTGGATCCGCAGGGGAAGAATGGGGAGAGGAGGAAGGGGGAGTTTAAGGAGAGGGTATCACCCTGGGCCTCCCCTGAAAGCCTCCCACCTGGCAAAGAAAACATGAGAGGGCCTTACATCAAAGTCGTAGCGGTCCACAGTCTCGTAGTCCAGGGGGACGGCCACCCGGATACGAATGTCTGCTTTTCCTTGGACAGAGGTCGGGGAGATGATGAAGTGCTGGGAATTGTTCCCTACCAGGTATACCTCAAACATGCTGTTCAGGCCCTGGGGCAAAGTGGAGAAGAAACCAGTCAGAAAGGGTTCAGGAGGCCAAGGGTCCAGAGCAGAGTGGCTCTGGTTGAGGCAGAGGAGGTGCAGCGTCCATAGCGGGGCTTGTCTGCGCCCCACTGCAAAGTGCTCTGGCTTCCTCTGGGTGACGCTGGCCTGGCTCTCACACCCTGCCTCCCATCCATGTCTGAGCCCATGGGGAGTCTCCTCCAACAGTTCTTTTTGCCTTTGTTATCCATTCAGATGCCCCAAACATCCCTTTCAGATGGTTTGGTTCACTTCACACCTCCTGCTCCCGTCCTCCATCCCAGTGACCTCAACCTGCGAGGATCTGCAGCTGTAAGGTCCGGCAGGAAGACAGGAAAGAGGGTCAGAAGGGGACGGAGGGGAGAGAAGCAAATATGTGTCCCTGGTAGTCTTGGGCAGGAGAGGGCATGGGGGACAGACTAGAACATGGCTCCTTCCCCTCCCTCCCTCTGGAACGTGTCCATTAGAGAGAACAGTGGCTTCCTTGCACATGGAATGGGAATTACCCAAGTGGCTGAATGGCAAAGTGAACCCCTGTGGACCCCACACTGTGGCCAGCTGGTGATGGCCTGGAGGACACTGGATCCTCGGTAGCTCAGAGCTGCTATGTCCTTCACGGGCTCTCCTGCAGCCCAGCAGCCTCCATAGTTTCATGTGGGGGTGCTTTTACTCCAAGTCAGGTGTTTCTGACCATTCTAACAGGGCCCAGGCTCATAGAGCCTTAAAAAAAAAAAAAGGCTATGAGGTCTCTGTGCTACCCAAGACCCCAGATCAAAAGAATCACTGAGGAAGGCGGGAGACATGGCTTCCTGACTTCCCAGGGTCTGGCCTGCTCGGAAATGGATTCAATCCCCCATGGGGGTGGGGGGAAATTACCCCCAAATAAGCCTCCTTTAGCCTAGGCAGACGGCTTGTGGTTTGTAACCAGCCCATTGAGAGCCTCTCCTGACCCTTACTGCAGATGCTCAGTAGTTTACAGACCTGGGCTGTGAGCACCAGGAAGAAATGTCCTCACGCTGGTCACCCCTGGCCCAGGGACCAGCACAGCCCCTCTGTGTAGGTTTCTTTGGAACTGAGAACTGGCAAAGGATGCAGGCCTCTCTTCTTGATTGCCTGGGGATCCCTTCCAGGACCTGTTCCTGCTGTGAGGGGGGCAGCCAGGCTATCTGGAAGCCTCTGCATGGCCAGAAGGGGATGGTCCTGGCAAGGCTGGAAAGGATGACTCCAGTGAAGCCTGAGGGTTCACGAGTTTCTTCCAACAGCCCTGGACCTGCCCCACAGGTGGTCAAATCCATTTGTAGAATGGATGCATATTAATATTTATGCATCAGTCTTTTGAATTTTTTCTATTTGTCATTACAAATTGGCAAAATGAGAACACTGCCAATCTTGGGGTTCAGAGAAACACAGGGCCTCCAGAGCTCCCCACCCAGAGTGGCTCCTGCAGACGGCCCAGGTGATGATGCTCCTTTGGTCCTCAGTTCTCCCTGGCATGGAATCCATCTGTCAGATGGAGGGCCAATTAAATGCCCGAAGGGGCACTAATAGCTAAACCCGGCAGTGTGTGACAGCTCTGTGCAGGCGACACCAGCCCCTCTCCCCCCACCACGGGACCTGGAGGCCCGAGAAGGTGGGGGCAGGCTGAGCCCTGCCGGGGCAAGTGGAGGAACACCCTCTCCGAAGCCCCTCCCCCACGCTGCCCCCCGCCCTCCCAACCCCTGCCCTTCCCGGGCTCACTTACCAGGTTCTGTCAGTGGGAGTCGGTCAGTCAAAAGGTATGGAGACAGAGAAGGAGCCGGAAAGGTACGGGGAGGAGGAAGGAACCGGAGAGAAAAGATGGTGAGATCTGAGGTCAGGATAAGGAAGGGGGAGCCCAGTGGACCCCAGGAGCACACCCTGCTCTAGAGGAACAGCCCCCTTTGTATCTGATGGGCCATAGGCTCTGGGGGTGCAGCCCACACCAGAGGAGGAGAGTGAAGCCGAGGAAGAGGTACTGGGGCTCCTGAGCGCACGCAGTCCTCACCCAGAGGGAGGTTGGGGGCGGGGAGCGCTGCGGGGGAGGGGGATGGGCCACACCCCTATGTCCTACTCCGAGGAGCCTGGACCAAATCCCCTGCAGAAAACGACCCCAAGCATTGTCACGTTTTACTCCTCCTAACACAGAAAATGTTAAGATGTTTTAAATACAGACATGGGAAATTTTTCACATAGTTCAAAGGTGCACACTGCCGTCTCCCTGTCCCCACCGGCCCAGTCACCGGAGGGCCTCCTCTAGAGGCCACCGCGGTACCCGTCCATGGGTCTCTTCTCCAGCACATCGTCCTCGCAAATAGGATGAGCGCCAGGAATCTACCCCTCCCCTCCCTGATGCAAACAGCAGCACGCCACATGCACTGCTCTGGGCTGGGTTTTGTCACTTAAAACTAGGTCTTGGAGACTGTTCATGACCGTACAAATCGGCGCCGATACTAACAATGACAACACAGCAGCTTTTACGGGACACCTACTCTTGGCCAGACACCGTTCACAATGACCACAGAGTTATCCTCCGCGGCTAAGGCGGGATGTCGGGAGCCCTCGAGGCCACAGAGCCTGCCTGGGGCAGTGGAACCCACAGCAGAGCAGGGACATAGAGGGTGTTCAAGAAGCGACGGGCTTTTCCTCACCCAGTACTCTGTGCGATCCTCTTCCCAAGGGCCCTAGGGTGGAGATGAAGAAACACTGGAGCTTGGAAACCCCTCCAGAGGAAACGGGGTTCAGAGCGGTTGAGCCACCCAAGGTTGCACAGGTTGTTGGAAGCAGAGTGAGGATAAAAGCCCAGGCCCCGCACCCAGGCCGGGGTGCTTTCGAGGTTGAGAGGAGCGGGGGCCAGGGCGTCCCCCAGTAGCAGCTCCGGTGCAGTGTGAGTTCCCTGAGCAAATGCAGGTGGTAATGCTGAGCATCCCAGAGCAGAATCTGAGCGAGCACCAGCTGGTGAGGCCAAGCAAGGAGGCTGGCCCAAGAAGGGGAGTTCTGAAGGGGTTTTAGGAAGGGAGGGGGGAACTCGGCACGAGGCAGTGGCTTTACACACGGAGCTCTGTCCTTAGCCTGTATCAGAATCATCTGGAGGCTGTGTTCAGCTACAGACTGCCGCCCACCACCAGGAATACCTGATGTGGTAGGTTGGGGGCCTGTGAATTTCCACTTCGAGCAAGTTTCAGGTGCCGCCTGTCCTGCCACTGCTGGTGTGGGACCACCACTGGCCTAAGCAGAGGCATGGAGCAGGAATGAGGAACTGGTGATAGGCAGACAGTGAGCTGATTTGCAAAGGATGCACATAGGAAGAACTGGTGAGATTGTGGGGACAGCAGGAGGCTGGGGGTAGGGGTGCAGTTCCACCCCAGGCACCGTCTGGAGGCCTTTGGCACTGCCTTCCTGAGCAACGGCGAGGCAACCCAAGCTCTGAAGCACAAGAATACTGCTGAAACTGAGGAAGGTGAACGTGGCAGTGAGTGAGTCACACTGGGGCAGCCCCTCCTCACCTGACTGCACATCCGAACTGCCAGCGGAGCTCTAAACATCAGACACATAGATGCCCACGGCCACTATGTCAGAACCTCTCGGGGTGGGGCTCAGGCGGCTGCATTTTTTTTCTTTGCTCCCTAGAGAATCATGTGGCACAGCCAGGGTTGAGAAGACATTAGCAGGGGCAGGCAGGGGCTTGGTGGCACCCACAGGGATCCAGAGGGGCGAGCAGGGCAGAGGCGGAGGAGGAGTCCTCCATCAGGCCACCCATCAAAATCACGTGGGCATCTTTAAAACATCCCCAAGCCTAGGCTGCACCCACCAGACCAAGCAAATCAGATGTGGGTGGGCTGGGGGGGACCAGACCTCAGGACCTTGTAACATTTTCCGTTTTCATTCTAATGTGCTTCCAAGGGCGAGAACTGCTAGGGCAGAGCGGTGGTTCTCCGAGTTGGGTACAGGGACCTGAAGCTCAGCATTACCAAAAACCTTGTTAGAAATGCATATTTTGGGATACAGCAGTTGTACCCAGTTATCCCCAGGGGCGTGGCCCAGCACGGTCCAGCCAGCCTGCCAGGTATGCTGATGCTCACTGATGTTCAAGAATCACCAGGACCAAGCAAGGCAAGGCAGGGAGCGAGTCTGAGAACAGGGAAGAAAAGACTAGGGGTGGGGGGCTGGAGCTGCCACGAGGTACACGGATGGAAGACCAGAGCGAGGGACTGAAGAGATGCCTGGGAGGGTGGGGCTAAGCTCAGTGTGGACTCAGCTCGTGTACCTGGCCAGGCAGGAGCACTGGCCCCTCAGGCCAGGTTTCTGGGTCTCAATAAATGAGGTCCCTGCCCTCCTAGGTTTGCCACCAGGTGCTGGATGTTCACTCAGGCCTGCCACCGCTGTGGTTCTGAGACCCCAGGGCAACCTTCTGGCTAAGTCCCACTAAGTGCTCAGCCTGCCCCTTTCAGAACCTGCCCAGAGGGCCCAGTCACGTGGCTGGTGACTGCCAGCCCCTCGGGATGGGATCTGCGTGTGGTAGTTCACCCAAGTGGTGCAAAGCCCCTACGAACTGCAGTCCTCCACCACACAGCTTCCATTTATCAAGCCCCAACTGTGTACTGCACGTGACTTAACCAGAATCTTTACTGACATTAGCGTCTTGTGCACCCCTTTTTCTGAAGAAGGAAAGCGAGGCCCGGGAGGGCAGCTCATTCAGGCCTCACCGCTGCCAGCGAAGGATTTGAAGCTGGGTCTGTTCCGTCTCCAGCGAGGTCTCGGCTCTCAACCACCCAGCTCTCCAGCCCCTTCCACTGCACAGCGTGGCTCCCAATGCAAGCAGGGAAGGGCCCGGGAGGGCAGGGGCGAGGGCCGGGGGCAGGCTCCTCTGCCAAGGTCAGGGAGCAGCCCAGGCAGGTGGAGGGCAGGAGCCTGCCCATGGAGGAGGGCTGCTCGTGGGGCTGGGAGGGCAGGGA